CTAACAACCTGATTACCCCACATACATATTTTATGAATTTTTTTTACTCAGAAGTACCACTGCAGGACTTGGTTGTGCATTAGCAACAAAAAGTTTAATTTGAGCCTGAGAGGGTTAAAACTCGTGGTGATCGTGCCTTTCAGACTGTGGCACCACGGTTGTGGAATTCTCTTCCACTGTCTCTACGCTGCACGGACGCCATTGATTCTTTTAAAAAAAAACAGCTGAAGACATTTTTATTTAGAAAAGCATTTGAATAATTTCCTCCTATGTTTTATTTACTGTTACATTGTTTTATATTTCCATTTCTTGTGTTGTAAAGCACTTTGTGAAAAGCGCTATATAAATACATTTTACTTACTTACATTCTCCTCAAAACAGGCATGCAAAGCAAACTTTAAAAAGCCAGCTCATCGTGAACGTGAATGATTGTCACTATAGTTTGTTTTGCATGTGGCTGCATTGGCCTGTTAAGAGTTTGCACAGCAGTAAGATGTTTTATCTGTGTCTCTCAGGCACATCCAGTGTTCCTCGACATCCAGGAAGTTTGTCAGCATGTGGACCGAGAGATCTCGCAGCAGCCTGCAGAGACACCAACACAAGTCAGAAAGAAGTTGGGGTTTTTTGTCCTTGTGCTTTTGGTTGGTTTATTTGTTAGCTTTCACTCACCACTGTTGGGTTTTTTTTTCTGTTTCAGGGAGCTTCTTTACTGGTTCTACACAAGAGCTCAGCAGCAGAGGTTCATTATTTTTAATCATCGTCACTTTTTCTAAATGAAGGTGATCCCAAATTTAAACAAAATATTTCTGTGTTTTTATACGTGGACTTTCTTACTTTACAGGAACCAGCTCTTGAAGATCTGTTCAGCCCACGGCCAGATGTTTCATCACAGCAGACAAAGCAGGTATAAAACAACAATACAAGTTTTTATGTGAGATAACAACCATATTTCACATGAAACAGCTGACAAAAGCAAGTGTCCAAAGTTGGGTTGAAATGGTAGGAGGCTAAGCAGCAGTGTCTCCCAGTTTCCGGGATCCTGAAGTTGTCCCAGATTAGATATGTGATCTCTCCAGTTGGTTGTGGTTTTACCCTGGGGTCTCCAAACCTCCAAAGGGAGGCTTGTACAAACTCCTCGTCCCCTCTCTCAGGCTGAGCGCAGCCTGCCTGAGGAGGAAAGTCATTTTAGACACTTGGGTTCATGACCTTACTCTTTTGGTTGTTCGTGACTATTTTCACAGTTAGTTTCTTTAATAAATTGTGATTTTATAGTGCTATATGTATACATCTTTCTTGTATACTTGTATATGATATTACTTGTATATTATACTTTTACAGGTGCTCAGTGTGTTTAAGTTTAACTTTTTAACTAAAGTCTAGCTTTTATCCTAATTAATAATTTTTTTCACCCCCAGTGTCACTTATTAGTTTAGTTGTAACTCATTATAATAGCTTTGGTGCAGCATTATGGAATCTCGCAAAATAAGACGATTGTAATACAACTACACTTCTGTCTCCTCACTTTTAGGTAACATGTAGGTGAGAATTTATATTTTATTCTCTCCTTGTTTCTGCCAGCAGCCCTCGTCCACCAATGAG